AGAAATGCCACAACATATTTATATTTGTTTCTTGGCAATGTTAGTTCTCTGTTAAAAATATAATATTAAGATCTACTTTTCAAGGCATGTGCTAGGCTTATAAAATAATAGTTCTCTGATGAAATAAACAGTGTATTTTAATTACAATAATACTTATTCTTGTGTTAAGTATAAGCATGCGATATATGCATGAAATTTTTTTTGTTCTGTTAATCTATTCTTTTTTTGGTACTTTGTAGGTGATTTTTTTGGTTTATTTTTCAGCATGTCATGTCTTAGGAATTGCAACAAAGTATGAATTTTCCTTGTTTTCTACAATTAGTGACTCTGTATTGCTCTGTCAATAGGGGAGGCTGCAAATCCAAGATTAATAAACAAAGCTTTGTTCCCAGTGCTGCAGGTTATTTTTCATTCAATACAGAAAGAACTACATTTCTTCCCATTATATTTTCAGCTGGAATGTGCCCTTTAGAAAACCAGTGTTCTAATCAAAAACATTTTTCAGTTCAGACCAGTTATTGTACAGCCTCTTCCGGCAGCATAGCCCATGTGCCAGCCCACATGCTGGTCCATACTGGAAAAGAATGGCCACTGCTGAGCTGTTCGTTTTCTAATGATGGCCACATGAAGCACCTCTGAGTGACACTGTCCAGAGAAAAATTAAGAACTTCATCTTCATGGGCTGCTCAGCTGTTTGCACTAACCTCCAAGTCTAAATGATGGAGTAGGTAGACCTAATGCTATTTTTTTTTAGAGAAGTGGCACACAAAATTGCTTCTTTTAATTTTTTAATTTCCATAAGGGTGGTAAAAGTGGTCAGGATGGTGCAAAAGTGTGTCACTGGGGTTCCAGATGCCTTGGCAACTCCTGGGTGTCATGTCTTTACAACAATTAACAGTTCTGCTGGAAAAGTATGAATTAAAATTATGCCTCATAACTAATCAAAAAAGATTGATTTAATGACAATTCCCCAGTGCTCAGATCATCCATCCTTGCAAAAGCAGATGCCTGTTTTGCTAATAACAGCGCAGACCACATGCACAAACATTTTATGCAGACAGTGCAGAGACGAGGATACCTCTGAAGGAAAGGCAGATAGTTCTCATAACAAAGGACAACTCAGGCAGTCTAAACCAGCAGCCCGTTCTGTCTACTGACTGTGCAGGTAGCCAGAGTACCACCCTAATTGATTCAATGCACACACACACACCAACAGAAAATAGCATAAAAGGGAGCAGATATGACATGCATTATGAAGATATGTCCAAACAGCCTGATTAATTCAGGGCTTCTGAATGCTTATCCATCCCTGGAAAGTACTTTGAGTTCACATATACAAGGTGAACATACCTTAGACTGGGGAGATATGGGTGGCAAGCACCCCCACGCAACCTGAGTGCATGCCCCCAGCCATCAGGCTGTAAAGTATACTGCACGCGAGCCTGCCCTGCCCTGCCTGCTGAAGTCGGGCTGCCAGGCAGGCAGCAACATGTGAACGGTGGGTTCACATGAGAGATGGGGAGCCTAACTCCAGCCCCGCAGCTAGGACGCTCTGCTCTGGTGGCTGCTCTGCAGTTCCCCGCTCCCTGGGTTACTTCTGTTTTTATCCAACAACCGCACAGCCCCCAGGAGAGAAGCAAAGGCACCGAGCACAGGATCTCTCCCAGCTGCATGCTCAAACACACATCCATCCATTCATCCACAACAATTTCAGACCTCTCTGGAGAGCAAGGCAGGGCTTGCCTGCCTTCCCCGGCACCCTGCAATAGCAGGGGTTCCTCAGGGTGCCTGGCCCTCCCTGGCCCAAGGCAGCCCCTACAGGAGTCAGGTGCCTGGAGCTGTCTGTGTTCTCAAATCAGGGCTCCTACCAGTCTCTACTGGTTTGGGGCATGCTGGTGTGTGACAGCACATTTTCTACACCATGTTCTGACCCACAGGCTATAGAGGTTTGCCTGGAAACCCAAATTAGCTTATCTGACCATGGGCACACATTTTGGTCTTGGTAAGGATCCTGACCACCTAAATCTGAGTACAATCCTTACCAGGGTTGCTAACCATGATTAGATAGGACAATGTTTCAGCTAATAAAAGACAGTATTACTGCCTATATTTTTGTCCTTAAACCATCGCAGCAACAGCGAAATATCTGTGATTCACAGACTGAGCTCTAATATTCAGGATAGTTACATATTTCAGGAATACAAAATGGCAAATTCAGGATTCTGGCTTATTATTTTAAAAATGGGATTGACCAACAATTTCAAATGGATCTGTATCATCTACATTCTTCTGCGAGATCTCAGAGTTGCTCCCTGATATCAACCTTGAAGAGAAGGACTTAGGGGTGTTGGTTGATGAAAAGTTGAACGTGACCTGGCAATGTGCGCTTGCAGCCCAGAAAGCCAACCATATCTTGGGCTGCATCAAAAGAAGTGTGACCAGCAGGTCAAGAGAGGTGATTCTCCCCCTCTACTCTGCTTCTGGAGTACTGTGTCCGGCTCTGGAGTCCTCAGCACAGGAAAGGCATGGACCTGTCAGAGCAGGTCCAGAGGAGAGCCATGAAGAGCTGGGGTTGTTTAGTCTAGAGAAGAGGAGGCTGAGAGGAGACCTTATCACTCTCTACAACTACCTGAAAGGAGGTTGTAGTGGAGTGGGTGCTGGCCTCTTCTCTAAAGTAACAAGTGATAGGACAGGAGGAAACGGCCTCAAGTTGCGCCAGGGGAGGTTTAGGCTAGATATCAGAAAAAATTTCTTCACTGAAAGAGTGATCAAGCATTGGAAAAGGCTGCCCAGGGAAGTGGTGGAGTCACCATCCCTGGAGGTGTTCAAGAAACATTTAAATGTGGTGCTTAGGGACATGGTTTAGTGAGTTATGCGGTGTGGGTTGACGGCTGGACTTGATGATCCTTGAGGTCTTTTTCAACCTTAATGATTCTATTCTATTCTAGAGGACCGGAGCACCTCCCTTACGAGGACAGGCTGAGAGAGTTGGGGTTGTTCAGCCTGGAGAAGAGAAGGCTCCAGGAAGTCCTTATAGCAGCCTTCCAGTAATTAAAGGGGGCCTACAGGATAGATGGGGAGGCACTCTTTATGAGGGGGTGTATTAATAGGAAGAGTGGTAACAGTTTTAAGCTGAGAAAGGGTAGATTTAGATCAGATATTTGGAAAAAAAAATTTGCTGCGAGGGTCATGAGGAACTGGAACAGGTTGCCCAGAGAAGTTGTCCCTGGAGCTGTTCAAGGCCAGGCTGGATGAGGCTTTGAGCAACCTGATGTAGTGGAAGGTGTCCCTGCCCATGGCAGGCGGGTTGGAACTAGATGATATTTAAGGTCCCTTCCAACCTAAACCATTCTATGATTCTATGATCTGGCAGTATGTCAAAGTAGGAGTCTGTGTGTGACTCACTTTAGTTATATATAACGTTACAAATTATCACCACTAATCTCAGTAACAACACTAATTATCTACTCTAATGCACTTTATGGATTTTACACTGAGAAAAACTGTGATCAGTTCTCCTGCAGAAATGCCAGCACAAACACTTAAGTGGTAATTTTAGGAAGCAGGTGAAACTGATTTTGAACCAACACTCTCCATTTGTGATTGTATCTGTGCATTTGCTTAGCACAACAAAAGAAAAAAACATCACTGAAATTGATTGTGAATAATTTCTGAATAAGTAAGCTTACAAGAAGACTTTCTCTAATTCTTTGTAACTTCAAATGGCTGTTTACTTCTATGTATCTCAAATCTTCAACTATTCACTGGAAATTCTGATTTGACTCCAGCACAACTTCCATCCTTACCATGAAAAGTGTGGGTGTGATAAGCTGTCAAACCACTTTGCCCTGCTTGTTGTGCTCATGACAATAGCACAGCAAGTGTAAACAGTAACCACAGTGCCCATGGCTGAGGTTTTTCTAAACATCTGATACTGGGAGACGAGATTAGCAGGCAGGTGTTTGCGACAGAGAGATGTGAAGCACAGTCTTCACTGGTACATCACCAACAATTGTGAGCAAACGACCCTCTGGACCTCTGCCCTTCAGCAACACCAAAGGAAAACTGTTTTGACAGTCAGGCATTTTAAACAGGAAAGCACTTGTTTGGATAGTTTCCTTGTAAAAGAAAAAAAAAAAAATCTTTACTGTGCTTTTTCAGATGGAAGAAATCCCACAGAATGCTCCTGTGCTTGGGAGAGCTACCACTCGATATCCACAAATCCACTGCATTACTCTTTCAGCTTAATTGATAAAATTCTCCTTCATAGCGACATTCATTAAAAAAGTCCCAAGACAACAATTAATGTATTGACATATTGTGGCTACTGCCTGCTGAGCTGAGTAATTTCTTTTTCTGTTCCTTTCTACTCCCCTGCTTGTTTCCATACATATGCTGTTTCTTCAGTGTGAGCTCTTCTTAAACTCAACTCCACAGTTATGCTTTTTGGCACTATGTTTACAGTAAATATAAAAGTAAAGATCAATAGTTCACTCTGTCTGCCATTACAATAACTTACTTCCTATGCTTCTCTGGTTATATTTAGAACAAAGGCAACTGGCCAAATTACTGTATTTTGACAACTTCCATTGAGTGTTAGGTCCCATACACCACACCCTTAAACGGACCAATGGTGCTGCCCCAAACTACAGCAAACTCACATTTTGCTAACTTTAACACATGCTCTTTCACCTTGCATGCAATGTAAGTTCACATCCAAAATTATCCACAGTCAGAGGAAACACAGAAAGGTATTGCACAAGCTCATGAGAAGACTGTGCCTGTAGCACCACTTAAGACCCTCCACAACACTTGAATGGGGCTGGCAGGTGTTACGCACAATGGATAGGAGACCTGTAGGCTTCTGGGACAGCAGCTGGTTCCCAGGTGGGATATCCTGGGGCTTCTGAAATGGTGACAGATTCACAGATTTAGACAACTGAGCTATACCCATCACAAGAAAAAGTGTACTTGAGCCACAGTAACACTGGCTTTATTACCTTGACCCATTAACCTGGTTTGGGTTACACTCCATCTTGATAGTGACTCTGGCTGGGGGCTGCGATAACCAGTCTTGCTGGGGAACACGCGGACTCATCTTTGATGTCTGTCCATATTCACTGGAGGAGGAGGCCGTCATTTCTGTCTTCGCAAGGTGGGGAGATCCGTAGGCACACTCGAACAAGGACTGGTCTTCACTCACCACTGATAATGCTTCCTGCAAACCAGAGAAGAGAAGTCAGCATCACCATGTTTCAGAGCAGATATACAATATACCCCAAGGTAAAAAAGGCTTGTCCATCTCATAAGAAGACAAATAGCCAGTCAATTGCTTAAATGCTTGTTACTTTTTCAGGTACGCCACTGCTGCCAGTGGAGGCGAGGACTGACAGTGCCAGACACACTGTCAGCATATAGTGGGAGGACAATCTCTCCCCCGGGGAGACCACCCTTCCCACCAGTGGCTGAGAAGATGCACAAGCACACACTACCAAACACTAAGGAATAGTGGCCAGGAGCTGGGAGGGAGGAGGGGGCAGGACAGGCAGCAAAGCTCGGGCCTCTGGCATCCCAGGTAGGGATGTGGAGGATCAGATCTGCCAGTGGTGTAAGCAAACTGCCATCGCTGCTGTAACTGCCCCTGCAACGAGTGACCAAAAGCCAGGTCTTGCTGACTCACTGGAAGCTCCTCTTCCTTCCTCTGGGAACCAGGCCAAGTCCCTTCTGAACAGGGAGCTGAGACAGCCAGGTGCGACCTGCAATCCAGGGATGCTGCTCTTTCTGACAGCATCTTTCAGTCAAGTGTCAGGTCCTGCACTTTGGTCACA